ATCAATATATAAATGTTTTTTTAAAAATACAAAAGAATGTTTTTATTATTTAAATCTAATAAGTATAGTTTAACGGCTCTTTTAAATAGTTTAATTGAAGTCATGTTTTTCATGTCTTTATTCAGGAAATAGTTCCACAAACGTGGTCCTCGACATGTTATTGAGAAGTCTGTTTTTCTAAGGGATGTTGTAAGTATGAGAAAATTGCTAATGGAATATCTTGTAGAGTATTTGTGATTAATTAAGGTGAAATGAGGCTGAAAATATGTTGGAAGCATGTTGTTATAAATTTTAAACATAAATAACAGATTTTGATAGATGTTTAGTTTATAAATATTTAAAACATTAATTTTTTTAAGTAAAGGCTCGGCGCATGCATATCTACCTGCATTCAAAATTAACCGGCTCGCTTGTTTTTGTTTGGTATTAATTTTTTTTAAAGAGGATGAATAATTACTTGCCCACGCTATGTTGCAATAACTAATGTGACTATGAATAAATAAAAAATACAAGCTTTTTAAGCACATTATATTCAAAAGGTGCTTCGTTTTGAAAAGGATCCCAAGAGCTTTTGAAACGTTGTTTTCCACAAATTGAATATGATTTTTCCAGTTTAAATAATCGTCAAATATTATACCTAGGATTTTCATTGAATGAACTCTTTTTACTTTAATGCTGTTTAGAAATAAATCAGGAAGTTTTAGGGGTATGTTATCAGTTTTCGATGGTTTTGTGAACAGAATGTATTTAGTTTTATCAATGTTTACGGACAGTTTATTGGCTTTAAACCATTCATTGAGATTAATTAGCTCTGTGTTTACAGTAGAAAAAACAAATTTTAAATTAGACCCCGAAAAGAAAATATTAGTATCATCAGCAAAAAGAACAAAATTAAGGATTTTTGAGGATAAGTGGATGTCATTAATATATAAGAGAAACAACAGAGGACCAAGTATTGAGCCCTGAGGGACACCACAACTAATATATTCTAACTGCGTATAAGTTAAATCATACGGCACGCATTAATTACGATTTTGTAAATAAGACTAGAGCCATTTTATATTAGTATTTTGAATTCCATAATTTTTTAATTTATAGAAAAAGATTTCGTGGTCGACAGTGTCGAACGCCTTCGACAAATCAACAAAAACTCCAAGTGTATAATTATTGCCATCAAATCCTTTCAAAATATTGTCAGCCAAATCCATCACAGCATGCTCAGTGCAATAATTTCTCCGAAATCCAAACTGTTTAGGATATAAAAAATTGTTTTTATCGATGAAGTTATATATTCTATTATACATAATAAGTTCAAGAACCTTTGAAAAACAGGAAAGAATTGAGATGGGTCTGTAGTTTGATTCTAAAGAATCGTCACCGTTTTTATAAATTGGAATTATTTTAGCAAGTTTTAATTGATCAGGAAAGTCCCCGTTTTTTAATGAAAGTTTAAAAATAATGAAAAGAGACAATTCGATAATATCAAAGACACTTTTCAAAACATTTGTATTAATTTCATCAAGACCTTCGCTTTTATTTTTCTGAAGCATGTCAAAAGCTGAACGAAGTTCTTCAATGGAAAGTTCCGAATTGTCTATAATAAAATCTAATTTTTTCAAAAAAGAGTGGATTGTTTTGCTACTTGGCGAGATTTCTTTGGCTAAATTTTTCCCAACATTTATAAAAAAATTATTCAGTCTCTCAGCAATTGTTTTTTTATTAAAAATTTCACCTTTATCAGTTTTCAGTCGATTAGGGAAGTTGCTAGATGTAATTTTTGTTTTCCCTGTTATTTCTTTTATTATAGTCCAAGTTTTTTTAGCGTTTCCAAATGATTTTTAAAGTAGTCCAGAATAGAAGTTTTTTTTTGATTGCTTTTTTAGACAACAGACAACACCATTCTTAATAAAAATATTCAAATAATTCAAATGAAAACAGAAAACTTAAAAACCACAGGTCACTGTGTTTAAACGTGATTTTCTCAGAAACTAGATTCCGCAATATGGTCCCTTTTCTACCGCGAGGTCACATATCTTCGAGTTTGCAATTTTAACAAATTGCGCAGTGATAAAAGATTTAATTTGAAATGGCATTTGTCACGTCACACTGTAGGAAACCACCCCCCTCCCCCATGTGATATTTGGTGACATTTTCCCCTACCCCCTTAAGACTGTCACGTATTGTTTGAACAGCCCCATAAATGCAAAAGGAAACTTGACGCATAAAGGTTTATTTTGCCACAAACTGACGTCAATGCCTAAAATCATTTTAACTTGACTTTTAAATAAGCGTTTAATATTATTCTTTTAGTTCTTAATCATAAAAATTAACTTTTTTTAATGACTTCGGTTTAGTGCTCCTAGATCTTCTTAATTCCATTTGTTTAGCGTTTCGTACCAATGTATGTAAGTGTAAACATCTTTAGCATTTGTTGAGTTTGCAGCCCTTTTATGGAATAATCGCGTATAACTATAAATCTATAAAACGAGAAAACTTGAAATTTTTATTTTAAATTTTAGAAATCTTTTTTTTCTATATTCTTATTTTTTTGCTATGAATATACAAGCAAGATTGAAAAAATTTCAAAATTTATTACGCTAAAAGGAGGTCTAAAACCCTCTAAAACAACACTGATGACAGTGCATTTAACCACTGCGCTATCAATGAAATGCATTAAGCAAAAAAAACAAACCTAATTATAAGTCTCTTATTAGCTCTACGTATGCGGAAAAGAAGCGCATGTTAAGTTTTTTGCTCTTAAACTATTTTTCAGAATAAATTATTTTGCTAAAAAATATTGAAGTAAATAAGGAATAGGTATAGAAATTTTTGGCTCGAAATAGATATGTAAATTGGTGAAGACCTGTATTTTACGGATCCGGAATGCTTGGGTATATAAGGAAAAAGTATAAAAAAGTTCGGTTTGGAATAGCTATACAAAGACCCGTATTTTTACGGGTCCGATCTCAGCTAGTATATATATAATGCTTTCTTGCAGGGACTTTTTTAGCAAAAAATTGGTTGTTTGCGGGGACCGGTTGCTTACGGAGACATCAATCGGTCCCCGTTAATTTCAGGCTTGATTTATAACTTCTGCGCTATTAAAATGTCTTTGAATTATCATTGTAAATAAAATAGACCATACTATTATTGTTATAAAGTTAATATTCGTGGTTTAAAGGTTGTTTTTCATTAGTAATTGGCTTTGCTTTTTCAGGTATGTATATTTAATAAAAAGCGAAATCCATTGGTTTGTGCACTTACGGGGACTGTAATAAAATATTACATCCGCCTAAAATATCACATCCCCTAAAGAGCTTGCGCTTTCGAGTCATTGCACTTAGAAGTGTATCAAGTACGTCCGAATCATTAATTATAAACAATATAATAAAAACGCAACGAGATTCATAAAAACTTTTTTCTACTAACATACTATAAATGAAGTTAGCATAAAATGGTAATATATTTTAAATTCATATTTATAAAATTTTGATCGTAATGTATTTCACGACAATACTAAAAAAAAATGTTACACATAAGGGATATAAAACTTTAGGTAATAAAACACCAATTGTTTGTAATATTTTCAGAAGCCTGCATAAAGGGGATGTGATATTTTAAGTAAGAATTCCAGTTTCTTTTCGTGACATATACAGTGAATAAACCGAGGGAATGTGATATTTTAGATACCAAATACTAATCGTTTAAAATACTTTATAAATTACTTAGGGGGATGCAATATTTTAGAAGTATACAAAGGGGGGATGTGATATTTTAACTAAGAATTTTAGTTTCATACATTATTTCAAACTAATCGTTTGAAGTATTGTATGAATTACTTAGGGATGTGTAATTTTTTAAAAGTATACATAGGGGGATGTGATACTTTAAGTATTTAGTTTCTTTTTGTGATACACATAGAATTTACAAGTGATGAATCTAATATTTTAAATGCCAATTACTAATCGTTTGATATATTGCATGAATTACATAAAGGGATTTAATATTTCAGAAGTCTTCATAACGGGGATGTGATATTTTAGGAAATAATTTCAGTTTCTTTATGTGATTTATACAGAAATTACAAGTGATGGATGTTATATTCTAGTTACCAAATACAACTTATTTGAATTATTTATGAGTTACTTAAGGGGATGTAATTTTTTAAAAGCCTGCATAGGATCTATGTGTAATTTAAGTAAGATATTTATCTCAAGTTAATAATATTTAGTCCAGTTCACAATTAGTAAAATAATACAAATTTTTAAAAGTGGCAGTTTAAAAATTGATTTATATTTATTACAATAAATATAAAATCATGTATTTCGGATTAAGAATCATCCAATATCATACTAAATTAAAATTATAAAAAATAATGTGCCGTAAAAGATAAAAAAGACAAAGTACATAAACAATTTTTGGATTGTGATTAAGTTAAGATTGTGATTAGGGATAAGTAATTTATAATGAAAAAAATTTTCTAATATGAAAACATGTCGATAAAAGTTCTTCTATGCCCACATTGCCATATATATATATATATATATATATATATATATATATATATATATATATATATATATATATATATATATATATATATATATATATATATATATATATAATGTTGTTCTATGCCCACAGTGCTATACATATATATGTAGCACTGTGGGCATAGAACATATATATATATATATATATATATATATATATATATATATATATATATATATATATATATATATATATATATATATATATATATATATATATATATATATATGGCACTGTGGGCATAGAAGAACTTTTATCGACATGTTTTCATATTAGAAAATTTTTTTCATTATAAATTACTTATCCCTAATCACAATCTTAACTTAATCACAATCCAAAAATTGTTTATGTACTTTGTCTTTTTTATCTTTTACGGCACATTATTTTTTATAATTTTAATTTAGTATGATATTGGATGATTCTTAATCCAATTATTTCATTGATAATAAGTTGAAGCGTAAAGTGAAGATTTGTGGAAACGTTTATTATGCGGATATTGTTGTGGATGTAGAAGAACAAAAAAAAGTTTTTGATGCAGAGCATAACAGTCCTTTAGGGGGCCATGGTGGCACTAACAAAACAATTATGAAAATGCTGGAAAAATATTATTGGCCTAATATTACCGGAGATATTAAAAAATGGGTAAAGTATTTTGCTTATAAATTAATGCATTTGCATACATTATTTATCTACTTTATCATTGGAGTAGAATTGTGAAACTACTACCGTCTATTTTGGTAAGTTAACATAAAAGTTTAAAATAGAAATAAAGACATAATTATTTCCGTAGATAAAACAATGCCTTCGACGTCAAACTTCGGGTCAACTGCTTTCAGTATCCGAACCTTTGCATTCCATAAAGGTAACTTCATAAAGTGTTTTTTAAACAACTTTCTAAAAATACCAATTTTTTATTTAGTATATTATACGAATGTATACATATCATGTTTACTTTTTTATGTTTCATTATGTTAAAACATCTTGTTTAGACAACAAGAGTATGGGAAATTATTGGTATAGACTTTGCTGGCCCATTTATTGAAACATCAAAGGTTAACAAATACTTCATGAGTTGTACTGATTTATATTCTAAATGGCATTATTTTCTATAGCATACGCTTTACCCAATAAGGAAGTAATAACAGTAGCAAGAGCAATAATAAAACTCGTGACATCCTTTGGATTTCCATCTGTTATTCTTACTGACAATGGAACTGACTTTTGCAATGAGGTATTTGTTATATATATTTATGAAAAAAAAATTATAAAACAGATATTTAGCGTCATGAGGTTTCCAGATAAAAATTGGTCTTCTGCAAGGTTTTTGTTTTCTGTAAACAATGATGCTACATAAGGGTCTAAATGTAGACGTGTAGAAACAAATAATTTAATGGAATTCTACTAGTGTAGTCAAACCCTTTGTGGGTAAATCAGAATAAAACCTGTTGATTTTACTTGTAACGCATAATAGGGGTACTTTTTTTTATTATTTAAGTGGGAAAGTGAAAATGACCCAATCCCCAGTCAAACTGGGATGAGTGTCTTGTTTTGTATCCCTTACGTATTGAAAGGCAAACTTCTGCAAAAGTGTCACCTTTTGAGTTAATGTTTGATGGTCGTTCACCTGTTTGCATAAGTGAGTTTAAAGAAGTAAGTACATTTGTGAAAAAATATGTTCAGCAATCACCTTTATTTTATAGATATAACTTGACATTGTACCCCGTATTCACTATACCCATGAAAAGCAAACTTTTTTTATTTAGGAGATCAGTATATTTACTGCAAATGAAGATGACGTAATGGCTAAAGTCGAAAAAAAAAACATATTGAAAACTTAACTAATATAGTCACTAAGATAATTGCTGCTGCCACCTCAATTTAAAAATCTAATTTTTAGATCTAATCTTTAATCCTCCATTTGTTTGAATTCTTTTATTCTAATTACTATACTTATAAATTTTAGAACATTGAAGAATTAAAACAAAAAAAGTACTATGATAAAAGAGTTTCGAAAAATATCAAATGTAACAAAGAAAATAATAATATTGGAGACAAAATTTTACTTCTTAATATTAGAGGAAAAAGAAGCGTAGGAGCAGCTTTTAAGCCACGGTTTGAAGGGCCTTAAGCAGTAAGTTGTATTACAAAAAGTGAAAATTTCAAACTGAGTAGAGGAAAAGTTACACTACTGAAGTATAAGTTTTCGAATAGCTAATATCATTTTTAATTCCAAGAAAAAAGTAGTTTTATGAAAATAATTGCTATATAATGAACTATTTCTAATTTAACCCTTGTATACTCTACTTTAAATACAAGTATAACAAAAAACAAAGTAGAAATTGAAAAAAAAAACATTCATCGGTGGAAAGCATAAACGGTAACTTGTATTTTGTAACTGATTCCTTTTATATTTTTAATTTATGGTCTATAAAAACAATTTTTATTGAATTTTAATTTATACTGGGGTAAGATATTTGTTTTCTTATTTTTATTTATAGTCAAAACATATATTTTTTCATTACTTTATTTTATGGTTTATTTTCAAGATAAGGCAGAGACACCAATAAAAAGCTTTGAAATTAAAGATAGTGAAGGTATGTATTAAAAACTTATCTATTCACTTATTATTCTTAGCTTTTTATTTCATTTATAATTTATTTTCTATAGGAGGCAGATAATTATATGAAAAGCTTTTCAGTTAAAGACAGTCAAAGTATATAATAATAAATTACTTTTACAACTACTTTTTGTTAGTGTTACCTTTTTATTGTAATTTATTGTTTTTTTTTAGAGGTGGCAGATACAAAAAAAAGTTTCGTAATAAAAGATGGTAAAAGTAGGATTTAAAAAATTACTTTTTCATTTATAAATGTTAGCGTTTTATTTTAAAGTATCGCTTGTTTTTTAGAGAAGGCAGAGAAACCAATCCCCTTTGTAGTTGAATATAGTGAAGGTATGTATTAAAAACTTACCTATTCATTTATAATTGTTAGCGTTTTATTTTAGTTGTAATTTATTTTTTAGAAGAGGCAGATAATCAGATAAAAAGCTCGGTAGTTAAAGACAGTGAAGGTATTAAATAATAAATTATCTTTATATTTTGTTAGTGTTAGCTTTTTATTGTAATGTATGGTTTTTTTCTAGAGGTGGCAAGTATTGCATGTTTTTTAGAGAAGGCAGAGACAATAAAAAACTTTTCAGATAAAGACAGAAAAAAGTATGTATTAAAAACTTACCTATTCATTTATAATTGTTAGCGTTTTATTTTCATTTGTTTTTATTTATTTTAATTTTCTAGAGGTAGTAAATATAAGAAAAAGCTGCATGGTTGAAGATGCAGAAGGTATGTATGATTTATTGGCGCACCAGTAAAATAAAGATTTTTATGTAAACCTTTTTAAAAAATAAAATTAACATTATCCCACCTGGTGAAAAAATAAGCGTAGAATTTTAAAAAAATGTAATCTTTAATAAATGCAATAGTCATTATATTAGCAGGTGAATGGCTTATGCTTAAATTTTGATGAAATTATGCTTAAATTGCATTTCATAAATAGGTCACGGAATAATAAAATGTCTCCGTATTATAAACCCGGTAAAAGTTATTATAGGTATATATCCAGATATAGGTGGCTGCAAGGTATAAGATTATTCCTTACAAGATACTTTAAACGAATGCCTCAGTGACGAAGTTGTTTATATTTATCTCAAAATATTAGTAAACAGTAAGGAAAAGGTATGATTAATTAATGTACTTCATAATAAAATTTTTGTACAAACAAGCAATATTGCATTTTTTTTTAATTCATTTTCATTTAAATAAAATTTTAATTCTAAATATAAAACAATATATTGAACGCCATTCCATTTATTGACGCTTTGAAGAATCGAATCGAAGTACTGTCGCCAGCTGGGCTTCTCTCACTGGATGAAATGCCAATTAAAACTGATTTAATACGAAGAAGCCATAAGGTAGTAAAAAACTTTTATTTAAAAAAGTTAATGAACTCATTAATTTAATTCCAGTGGGAAAAAGACATCGAAAAGACGTCTTTAAAAGTTTTATTTACGATGTCTTTAAGACGTCTTTTTTTAGTCGATTATGCAAATCTAAAATACATCTTTTTTTGACATCGAAAAGACGTCTTTTTTTGTCTTTATCTTGTCATAAAAAGACATGAAAAATGCGACTTTTAGACGTTTATATTTAGTCAATTATGCAAATCTAAAAAACATCTTTTTTCGACATAGAAAAGACGTCTTTTTTGTCTTTAGCTTGTCATGATAAGGCAGAAAAAATGCGTTAATCGTATTTGTTAATCATAATTAACAAATTATACACATCTAAAAAAGTTTTTTTTCTTGGCGTCGGAAGGTGCCAAGAAAAAAAACTCTTTTAGAAGTCAATATAAAAAAGGAAGCATTTTCTTTATCTTTTAAAGGTTTAAACATAGGAGAATTATTTATAAATAAAACAGCAGTATTGTTAAGCAGAATATATTAATTAAATTAAGAGTTAAATGAATTAAGTTAAATTAAGTTAAATAAATTAAGAGTCATCAGCAGATTCATCTCCAAATTCCACATTATTTTCACCTTCCTCTTTTTCCTCTGTTTCTTGAGCTTTCTCCTCTGTTTCTTGGCGTTGCCTACGCAACCCCCGATTTTATGAGGGGCGTTCTTAAATTGGGACAGAAGTCCAACGGTAAACAGTCTAAAAATATAATAAATGAGTATTCTAAAGAAATTTATTATTATCAAAATGAATGTACAACGATGTATTATATTATGTGGTACTTAAAGCAAACTAAGCATTTGCACCTCTTAGATTTGCTATGAAAGACAAGTTATTAAAAACAGATGTTGATATTTTTCTTGTCTTCTATGACGTAACTTTTTAATTTAATTTCGTTGAAATTAAGTGTTGTAGACCCATAACAAATTAAAAATCCGTTATTGACTAAGGACTATCAAAAACGAAAAGATATTTCAGCTGATACAACTTGATAGTTGTTATTTATTTAAACTAGATAAACCTATTGTTCAAAGCTCAATTTTAGCCTGAAATATAATGATGCTTTACCTAACAACATAAAATTATAAAAACAGGCGATATCATTATCAACACAGATGAATCACACATAAACAAAAATAAAGACTAGAAAGCTGCAATGTTGTTTAACTAAAAGAAAGTGTACCTTTCCAGTATCATTATTACTTGGTCTTTCGCATCCAAACCACGGACTTGACGTAAAGATTTTCTGTGAAAGATAACACAATAATAAATAATATAGCAACGATGTTTAAAAACAGCTTTCTGATTAAAGTGAGGTTCTCTCACCTTACTTATAAAATTTTATTACTAAAATCACAAGATATTGGAAAATGCACAACTTTTCAATCTTGTTTGAATACCAAAAAACTAGACATAAAAAAAAATATAACAAATACCAAGATTAAACGTTTCTGTTCGTCTAACAACTCTCTTTCAAAGGCATTAAAATCTTCCATCGTTGCCATCATTTTTATTGCATGGTTATCCTTTTCTTCAGTTGGCCAACAACAATTTACAACGTTTTCTTTTATCTCCCACAAGAGACCAAGTGACAGTTTCTGGTACTCTGAAACGGATTAAGATAAAAAATCTTGTGCAATTAAAAACTCTTGTAAAAGCCTTGATTTATTTTTAATTCTATAGTTCTCCTTTCTAGCATTTAAAATAAGAAACCTATTCAACACATTTTACACAGGAATAATTTTTAAAAGGATATTTATTTTCAAAGTTCAACTAAATAAGAATTCCATTGAATTTCTGTGAATAAAAAAAAAGAGTCAAAAAATAAATATCAAATGTAAAAAACTAGACCTTAAAATAACCTTACCAGCATCGCTTAGTGGAAACCGTAGCTTCTCAAAGGGATCTAAAAATGATTATATGCAGATATAAATTATCACTGAAAGGGATCAAGTTATTTACAGAAATATTATTAAACAATTTCTACTTATTTCAAGCTTTCTATGCAGCATGGTAATATACTTTAAATAAAAAAAAATTAAGATATATCATTCGATTTGCCGCTAAAAATCATTATACCTAAAACATGCGTCTTTTAACGTAGTGCTTATTTGATTAATCTAAATCGTTCACATTGTTGAAATTAAACAAACATTTTATATAAAAGCACTATCCTCGAGTCCTACAGCTGCAAAATGGTTAGATGCGCTACACTCATTTAGCAGTTTTCTTCCAAGTTTTTTGTGTGTTAATAGGTGCCTCTTTTCAGAAGTTCAAACTTGACAATGTACACATTTTGATACCTTAAATAAATACTGCTTAAGTTGATCCTTAGCAGTTCCTAACAGTTATATATATACATATAATATATATATATACATATAATATATATACATATAATATATAATATATATTAAAAATAGCTTTCTGTTACATATACATATACAATTACATATACATATACATATACAATTATATATTTATATATATATATATATATATATATATATATATATATATATATATATATATATATATATATATATATATATATATATATATATATATATATATATATAATACATATACAATTATATATAAATATATATATATATACACATACATATACACACATATATACATATACACATACACATACATATATACATATACATATATATACATATACATATATACATATACATATATATACATATACAGGCCTCAGCTAGAAGCGAGAGCTTTAGCTCTCGCTCTAGCTGATTAGCTGAATACATACTACTAGCTGATTAGCAATTTACGGCTCTCGCAAAAGTATAATTATTCTTATGAAAGTATAATTATTGTTGTAACTAAAATAAAGAATACAATGTCGAAAAATACAATGTATATAAAATATATTTATATACATATTTAAAAAAATGTGAAAAAGTATACCTTATTTGAAGTCGGTTCAATTGGAAATACAGCTGTTTCTGAGAAAAATTAATAGTAAAATATGACATATGAATCATAGTCAAGAATGTTAGCAGGAGATTGGTCAAAACATTATACTCAGAAATAATTATTTTTATTAACAAAAAAAAATTAATAATCTTAAAACGGTTAAATTAAACAATCAAAAACTATAAAACTATCTAGTTAATCATAATTTATCTATATATCATCTAGATAAAAAGCCTAGAATTATAGAATATCTAGTCTTCAAAGTTTCCTTTGTAGCTAGTTCGCCTAACAAATTAAAGCCTCTTCCATAAATTTATGGTTTTCCATCAACTGAAACTTTGATGACCAGATATTTTTACAAAAATTGTAATTCGCTCTCTTAATTCAACCCTTGTATTATATTAAGGTCAATCAGTTAATAATATAAAATTGAAGTAAGAAGTTTTTGAATAACATAAAATATATATAACATGATGAGCCTAGTTTACAGCAAATAAATCACATTGCAAATGGTTTCAAAGAAACATGGGATTTAATAAGACTAAGTGCCAGACATGTAAGCCAATGATTCTTTTGCTGATGGTATAGTACTTTCATATTCAGATTCTAAATGCAAAATTTATGCATAATTAAATTGCATGCATAATTAAGGGATGTATGTCCATTTTTGCCAATAATGAGAAATTTAGACAGTAAAAACTATGGAATATCATCCATATTATCTTAAAGTATTATGCTTCAACTATTTTTAATTAATGAGTTATAAATAATTTAAAAACAGGTGTATATGCCATCATGTTGTAAACCATTATAGAAAAAAGAAGTATCAGTATGTAAATGTACGGTTTACGAGAGCTATTTACGGCTCTCGCAAAAGTAATTTTTTTCTCAAAAAAGTATAATTATCATTTTAAATAAAAAACACAATGTTGTTTAAAAAGAATTAATTGCATAATCTACTGAAAAGCAGCTCGCACAACTCCCCAAGTTCGTTTTAGGAGAGCTTTTCTCCGCTCTTGTACTCGTTTATTCTCGCCGAGGTCTATATTATATAAATGTATATATATAAATGTATATATATATATAAATATATATATATATATATATATATATACATATATATCTATATCTATATATATATATATATATATATATATATGTATATATATATATATATATATATATATATATATATATATATATATATATATATATATATATATATATATATATATGAGCTTGAATATTTTAGTTTGCTGAAAATTATATAAATGGAGAAGAATTGGTGCGTGTCTTTCCACAGGAAGAACTGAATGCATACAGAAAGTAACATTAAATATTTATTTTTAGATAAAATGTGATATTTGCATTCCGAATCGATGGTATCATATGGGATGCATTATTTTTAGAAATAAAACTTTATTTTGTTTTGAAAATAGTTATATATAAATGTAACAATAAGTTAAACTTTACAAACTGCAGTTATTTTTCTTTCTTCAAAATTTTTCGTAAATTGACCCAATTTAAATGTTTATGCACTAAGAGATTAAAAAAAAATAGGTGAACTTTTTTTTCTTAGTTTCAGTGACTTTGTGAATAGTTGTAATACTTTAAGTTGTCGAAAGCCATACATTGATTGAACAACAATACATTTTTAATTTGTTAGCTCAATTAAACTCTAAAAAAAATGAAAAAAGACTGTTTGAGTAATCTCTGCATGTTTTGCAAATAATAGCTAAAATTCTAAATTAAAATATTAAATCTTCTTATGCAGGCTTCTAGAATATTCCCCAAAATAATTAATATCATTTTGAAAAATATTTATATTTTCTTATTGGAGTAACACAAACCCCCAGTGTAAGCTCTATATATATATCACATAAAAGAAGCGAAAAACCAACTTAAAATATCACATCCCCCCTATGCATACTTCTAAAATATTACATCCCCCTAAGTAATTCATATAATACTTCAATCAATTAGTATTTGGTATCTAGAATATCACATCCCCTCGGTTTATTCACTGTATATATGACAAAAGAAACTGGAAATCTTACTTAAAATATCACATCCCCCTATGTTTACTTCTAAAATATTACATCCCCCTAAGTAATTTATAAAGTATTTTAAACGATTAGTATTTGGTATCTAAAATATCACATTCCCTCGGTTTATTCACCGTATATGTCACAAAAAGAAACTGGAATTCTTACTTAAAGTATCACATCCCCCTTATGCAGGCTTCTGAAAATATTACAAACGATTGGTACTTTATTACCTAAAGTTTTATATCCCTTATGTGTAACAATTTTTTTAGTATTGTCGTGCAATACATTACGATCAAAATTTTATAAATATGAATTTAAAATATATTACCATTTTATGCTAACTTCATTTATAGTATGTTAGTAGAAAAAAGTTTTTATGAATCTCGTTGCGTTTTTATTATATTGTTTATAATTAATGATTCGGACGTACTTGATACACTTCTAAGTGCAATGACTCGAAAGCGCATTCTCGTTTTTATTTTTTCTATGGGGGATGTGATATTTTAGGCGGATGTAATATTTTATTACAAATCCTTATGATATTATAGTATCTTAAACTTCAAGATTTTATAATATTACCAAGATGTTTTTATAAAAGATGTTTATGATACATATCACAAAATTATAATACATATAAAAAAAATATTTATGATATATTATTTATAATATATTATTTAGTAAGATATTCATAATAATATTATTATTATAAAATATATTATTAATATATTTTATCCTACTTTAGTTATAAATACTTTACTGTCAGTAAAGATAATTTTTACTAACCTTAAAGTATTCATAATTAAAGTATGATATAAAATATTAAAAATATCTTTAACAAATAAAATATTTATAATATCTTTGTGACAGTAAAGTATGATTTCTTTTTTGTATCTTTTAACTGTAATGCTGTCCATAAGAGAGTTTTTAAGTGAAAAATATTTTTCTAGAGTGTAAAAATAATAAAATCTGCTTAAGTCTGTTATTATTTGTATCAACTTAAGTTTTATTTTAGTTTATGTAAATATTAATCAACAAAAATGAATTTTATTTATAACCAATGATTTTTTATTATTCCATTTTGTAACATAAATGATTTTGAAAGCAGAAGTTTGTGCAAGTTTTTGATAAATTGATGATTAATATATACATAGAAATCTTCGTTTAAAACCCTATGTCAAAATATATATTTGATTTTATTTTGTATATATTTAAATTTAACAAATAAAGTTATTTAGTATAATCTTTAATTTAACTTTAAAAAATCTAGCTAGCATTATAAAAAAAATCAGTTTTTCAAGTTTGCTATTTTTTATAGATAAAATAATGTTATGGTCAGAAAAATAGACAATCGAAAAATGTGTTATATTGTTAATTAAACTTTCTATTGATTGTAACGATTATTTTACTGATTATTCAGGGTTTTTAAATTTGCAAATGATGTTAATGTCTGCATAAAATCAGTTTAGTTTTTTATTGTATATCTATAAAGACCGATAAAATTGCAAGCCCTTTTAATATATTTGTTACAAGAAAATTGTAAACTTACAAGGGTATACAATAGTATTTACTTTAATGATAAATAACAAACTATAGAAAGTATAAATAGAATTAAATAAAAAATTAAAATGTTTTATTTATTTTCAACTACTTTAATTAGCAATTAGTTTCCTAATTTTTATTTAAAATTGCGATGTTAATACATTTTCAAATGCTGGTATACTTTTATTAATTTTGTTTTATATGATTTTATATATGTTAGTGATATTATGTTTAAGAGTTTTTAATTTTGTTACTTGTTTAGCATTTATTTTACTCTACTTTCAAAACACTTTGAGTCTAAGTAAAATTTTAAAATTAGGTTTTTTAATTAAGCCATGTAAGTCATTTTTCAATCTGTATTGTGTTTTCTTATTTTAAAATATTTATTTGTTATTTTAGAATACTGTAGAAATAAAATTAAAATAAAATAAAAACTAGAAGAGACTGATCACATCTTAATCATATTGTTCTTCTAACATTGCTTCACTGGATATATTTTATTTATAAAGTTAGCAAATTTTGAAATTATATTTTTAATGCTTATGCAATTTGAAAGAAACTACTTTTAATGAAACTTAAAGCAAGTAGCATGCAAGCTATTAATTGAGTTGTTAATGATATATTCTCTGTATAGTACTGCCTGTTCATGAAGTGAATAATAGTAAAAGCGAATGGGAATACTAGCTGTTAAATTGTCCATTGAAATTATTAGCTTCGCAATGACAAAAAAGATAAAAAAGGATGGATTATTGATAGTATAAAAAAGGATGGATTATTGATAGTTGTCTTATTTAAGAACTGCTAAAGTGCATGAAGGGACAGCTAGGATGCATTGATCCATTCAAAAGTATCCCAAAACACAAATTTAAAATTAAAAAAATATTAATGAATAAATAAAGTTTTCAGAATGATTTAAAATTAGTTCCAGTTATTAAAGCAGTTTTTAAGATTAAAAATCTACAATTTTTTAAGCATAAATTAATACATTCTAAAACTTCACGACTAGATTTGTTTGATAAAATCTTCGCGGATTCACTCAGAACAGAAATAGGAAATTTAACCAAACCAGATTGTGAAAATGCCACAAATCAATTTTTTTATTGTGTCTCTATTTATTTATGAATCTGATTTTTTTTTTTCTCTAAATAAGTCTTTTTAAATTTTGAATATTATTATTAGCTTTAGTTCTGATAATTTTCAGGGCATTTTTTACTTAGCAACTAATTTAAAATAAGTTGTAGGTATTCAATGACAGATCCAGGATTTTTTGGTAATTGAGATAGCTAACTTTCAGACAGGAGCAAACTCCAAACATAAGTTTGTTTATACTTATGTAAAATAATTAGTCTGTTCAAAAAATTGCGATGATTGGAGGCAGGTTACAAAAAAGCCCTTGAAGTTTTTTACCCCTCCCCCTATCCTCCTTATCCTAAACGTGAGGGGCAGCAATTTGATAAAAAAAATTTTGTACTTTTATCAATTAGATTTATATTCATCAATAAATTTCAAGTTTCAAGTTTCAAAAATTACGACCATATAAAATTGTAACCCCCTCACATTGAGGGGGTTTAAACTTTATATGGTCATAATTTTTGAATGTTCAGAGATAATACTCTGAAACTTAAAGTTTATCAATGAATATAAAATCTAATTGAGAAAAGTACAAAAAAATTTTTATCAAGTTGTTGCCCCTCATGTTTGATTTATGAAGTCAAAGGGCTTTTTCGGTCCATGCCTCTATTTGTCGCAATTTTTTGCACAGTCACATTATTTGACATAAGTATAAACATACTACTAATTGGGGATTGCTCTATGTATGAAAGTTAGCTATCTCAATCACCAAAAGATCCTGGATCTGTCACTGGGTATATTGGAGTAACTATATCTGAACCAAGATTCTAAGATTTTCTTTTAGGATTTTTAATTTTTTTTACATTTTAAATTTATTTCAATACTGAAGATTTTACCTATATTTTTGATTTACTATTATTTTTCATTTTTCTACCAAAAAGAATGTATTTTTAATTTTAAAATCGTTTAACAAATTTAATTTAATTAAAAAAAAGTTTTAAAAAAGTTTTATTTTTTAAGCAAATAATATAATTTTTTTTTTTCCATGTGGGAAAGAAGAAGAAGTTTTTAGCTCTCTTTAACTAAACTAAAGCTTAAAAATTTTCAAACAAATTCACTGAATTGAATTAGTTTTGTGTTAAATGGCTCGTCCATAAATTACGTCACGCTATAGGGGGGGGGGGATGGGTTGGTGGTTTTGTGACGACTCATACAAAACTTGATTCTTAAGTATTGCAATTTTGTGATGAGGAGGGGGGGGGAGGTCAGAATTGGTCAAAAATTGCGTGACGTAATTAATGGACGACCCCTAACTAGTTTTTAGAAAACAAAGACCTTATTTAATTTTTAAAAAATGTATAAATGGCCTTATTTTTAAACCTTGCTAATTCAAAGAGCATAGTTATTCAATTGGTTTGTAAAAAAATTTTATGAGTTAACGCAAAGTATGCTAACTTTATTCACTTTGTTTTTTAAGTTAGTCCCTGAGAATGAACTTTTTTTGTACTCGTTCCTAATAAAACACATTTTCGTACATGTCTTTATAAATGCTGTTAAAGTGTAAATTTATAGTGTTTGTAAAAATAGGGATTACATTTTATGTCTTTTAATATGTCAGAACACAGTTAATCTTTTGGTTTGCAAAATTTAAAGTTATTTTTGAATCAGCAGTAGATAAAGAAACAAATAATTAATTTTTATTTTTCTTATTTTGTCCGCAAATAAGCACATTTTTTGCATAACCCCGAAAATAAAAATTTTTCTGCGTGTTTTTATAATGAAATTTAAGAATTAAGTTACAGTATTTGTTAAAATATAAGTTACATGCTATGTCTTCTTATGCCACAGGTCGCAGTGAATCTATTGGTTTGCAAAAATTAAAATCATTTTCGAATCAGCGCTATAGTAATGCACATTTTTTTACTGGTCCCCAAAAATACATATTTTTTTGCATATTATAATAAAATTGAAAAAATTAAAAAATTACAATATTGGTAAAAATATAAATTATATGCTATGTCTTGTCATGTCAGAGCGCGGTGAACCTATTGGTTTGCAAGAATTAAAATCAATTTTATATCAGCGCTATAATAATTTTTTAAACTAAACTAGTTTTTTAGTTGGTCCTTGAAAATGCACATTTTTTTACTGGTCCCCATAAATGCATAATTTTTTGGATGCCTTTATAATAGAGTTTAAGAAAAAAAACTGCAGTATTTGTAAAAATATAAATTATATACTACGTCTTGTAATATCACAGAGCGCAGTAAATCTATAGCGCAGTGGTTTGCAAGAATTAAAGTCATTTTCAAATGAGCGCTATAGTAATTTTTAAACTAAACTTGTTTTTTAGTTGGTTTCCAAAAATGCACATTTTTTTACTGGTCCCTGAATATACATCCTTTTTTGTATGTTATTATAATAAAACTAAAAAAAAAAATTACAATATTTGAAAAAATATAAATTATATGCTATGTCTTGTCATGTCACAGAGCGCAGTGAACCTATTGGTTTGCAAGAATTAAAATCAATTTTATAATAACGCTATAGTAATTTTTTAAACTAAACTTGTTTTTTAGTTGGTCCGCGAAAATGCACATTTTTTTACTGGTCCCCGAAAATGCATATTTTTTTGCATGTCTTTATAATAAAATTTAAGAAAAAAAATTGCAGTATTTGTAAAAATATAAATTATATACTACGTCTTGCCATATCACAGAGTCAGTGAACCTATTGGTTTGCAAGAATTAAAGTCATTTTTAAATTAGCGCTTTAGTCATTTTTTAAACTAAACTTGTT